GAAGTGTACCTCTGGTGCAAATTACTGACCTCTGTCATCATTTTAAGTGGGGGAACTTGCACAATCGGTGGCTGACTAAATACTTTTTTGCCCCACTGTAGATGTCACAAATGTGAATGTTTCACGTGAATATGGCACTTACTTGTTCTTGTTCAGGAATTGTTTTTCACTCAAACTCTCTAACACAGGTAAATAATATGTTACTATAACTATCAAGTCAACAGGCCAGTTTGACTGCGGTTATGTGATGGTGGTTACCTGCATTTACATGCACTGTTGCACTTCTTGATCTGATAAGTAACTGAAGTTCAAGCTAATGGAAGATAAATAGAGAGAGGGTTAAACTGATATATGATTTTGTGAACTAATGAGGAAGCAACACAAGGGCTTTCTCTGACTGCTTTAGGACAATCAATCACTCCTCCCAGAAAATTTAAACACGAACGCCTGGCAGAGGACCGGCAGACAAGCTACAAAAATACTTTTTTACTCCCTTATGAGGTACCTGCAAAAGCTGAGCACATCAGCTTTTGAGCTCATCTTTCATCCAGCCGGGGGTGGGGGGTACATGGGTAGAACAAAATAAAGTAAAGAAATGGTTGATTCATTTTTGTGTTATTGCATTTAGAACTGTTTATAACTACAGGCGATATCTCTAACTGGGAAGCTGTGTATAACACTGAAACTGAAAATAGGATGTGATGATTTGCAAATGTCATGAACTCATATTGTATTCACAGTAGAGCAAAGCACACAAATCAAATATTTAAATCAAGAAAACAACATTTTAAGAAGGGCAAAAATGTCATTCTGAGAGTGATGGCAGCAACACATTTTTAAAAAGTCAGGACAGGGTCATGCGTACCTCTGTGTGGCATCCCCTCTTCTTTAAATAAGAGTCTGTAAATATCTGGGAAATAAGGAGACCAGCTTTTGGTGTCCCGTTCCTGTTATGAGACTCTGCCTGCTTAACAGTTCTACGTCTTTTTGTGTTTTTCATTTCATGATGCTCCAGATGTTTGGAGGGAGGCCTGTTCAGCACCCAGACTGGTCTTCTGTGAAGCTATGCTCCTTTGACGGATGCAGCATGCGGTTTAGCATTGTCCAAAAAAAAAGAAAAAGATGTTGTCTTGATAGGCGCATTTGTTGCTCTAAAGCCTGTGTATATCTTTCAAAAATGGTGATGCTTTTCCAGCTGTGCGAATTGCCAATCCCATAGGTGCTAATGCACCCCGATACCATCACCGATAACGAGTTAGATGGTCCCTCTCCTGTTGCAGTCGATCCATGGCATCTCTCTCACGGGTGTGTGATGACAGAATGAGACAAAGTGGGATTTTAAAATTGGTACAACAGGTTGTCCACTAAATATCTTGGCACACGTTCAAATCTCAGTGACCTTGACTTCGAGCTTAAGGTCAGAATAAGTTAGAACAAAGCATTGTAAGACTTTTAGACTGATACTATGTGGTTCTGAGCCAAATGTCCAGTAATTCTGAAGGTTCAGTGGACTTTCAGAGGAAATTAAAAACACATTGAGGAAAAGGCCATGGCTAAACAGAAACATCGCACATATCTGCAATAATATATAAACCACAGAATGTTAAATAACTAAAAACATATTTTAGCTCATTCAATGGCTGTTTGACAGCAATGTGACTCAGTTAAGTCAAACTGTAGCAACAGTGACAAGCCCTTTTCAGCATCCCCTGGGAGAACTCTTATCTGTTGTTGTCTGCGTTGCTTGAATGTTTGTTATTTTCATATTTGACTGTGTTAGATCTCTTAGAGACGTGCAGGTGTTTTCCGGTTTCTGAACATGTTTGCTTTGTCATTTGCATTCCATAACATTCAAGCAGCTAACCACTCTCCTCTTTCCTACTGCACAAGCTTCAGCTGCTTCACTTTCATACACCCACTTTCGATTTCGGTCTTATTCTTTACAAGATCCGCGCTTTATATTCTGTTTGCCTCCTTTGTCCATCACAGCCTCCTGCCAAGTCATTTTGTCTTCTTTTGCTGTCTGGCAACGTCTCTCTTACATGTTTCCCGTTTTGTTGTTTCTTTGTGTATCCCTCAGAAGATAGCTCTCTACTCCGCCCCCGCCTCTCCATCTGTGCCACACACTTGTGTTGTTTCACAGTTACTGAAGCACACATCCTGATTGAAACCAGGTGAGGCAAACTACAAATGCACACACATGCTTGCATGACATGCGTTGGAGCACACACATACAGTCTGCAGTGGTTCAGTGGTGCATTTAGATGACATTTGCTTGGTGATAACATTGCCACTGGCTAGGTTTGTGTTTTGCACTTTGTCTTTGCTTTTTGTGTGTCGGGCATACTGCAGCTGTTGTTTTCAGGTGTTAAATGGCGCATTTTCCATTTAGGAACATTTGACCTCCAGTGTGGTAGACATGTCAAAACTCCTACAATGAAAATCCCACCTGACTGTGGATTTAAATGTTCTCAGAGGAATCAGATGTGTGTTTCCACAGTGTATTTTCTTTCTCTCATGCCGTTCCTGCTCCCTCTAGCCTAGTTTCTCCCTGCTGCTTTCCTCCTGCTTGACTGGGGTCAGCAGATGAGCTTTAACCTCCTGTGTGGCCCCCGAGCGAACAGCTTGGAAGCTGCGTGAACGCATAGGGGCGGAAGGCCACAGGGGCACCCGAGATCAGTTGTGCTGTACTCTGCAGGACCCAGCAGCTGCAGAGACAGGAAGCTGTAATTAGGACTAGAAGAGGCTTAATACTCAGAGCTATTTCTTTTCCTTCCTGCCAGTCTTCCATTCTTGCTCTCTTTCTCTCTCTAGAGAGAGAAATGCTTCCACATTAGGAGACCAAAACTCACAATTACATGTGATTGTAATCCTCTGATGTGAGGCAATTTAATGCTTCATTTATTCACCTTCATTGCTGTATATTTCATGCCTTAATCCATCAGTGAGCCCAATGTTTTGTACACCAGAGTATCATCAAAGCTGCGCAGAGCCATTGCAGGGGGGGGGCCAAAAGAAAAGGGGCCCGGGGGGGGGACAAAACGTTAGGACACTGCTAGCACGGGGCGCCCACAGAAACTCAAAGCAGGAGATGAAGCATCGCTGAATATGTTTCCAAACCAACTTCATTCTAAGCCAAAGACTAGAAAATATGGTGAAGCATATCTTCCCTTTGGTTTCACCTGCACAAGTGCCGAGGTATGTCTCTCTTGCAGAATTGGTTTTCCCTTCATCGGGAGCAGCGCTGGACTCTTCAAATCACGGACAAACTGTATCCCACATTCTTGATTTTTAGTTTACAAACACTTGTTGTAATGACTAACTACTCCTGACAGTTTGGAGATGTTAGCTCTTTATACAGTAAAGTTACAGTGGGATACAAATAATATCAGGCTCATCCTGCCACGATTTGTCCCCAGGTTCAAATCATGGACAAACAGTATCCCACAGCTGTTTATGTTTTTAAACCCACTTTGCACAAAGAAGCATTTTTTGAAAAATGTATTGATAGCAATGTTGAATATTATTACACAGAAAAAAACAACTACACGTAAAATAATCACACCGTGATGCCTTTGCCTTTGTAAATGGAGGGACAGTAACTGCGTGTAATACCTGCCAGTGAGGATGTGGAGGATGTGTTTGTGCGTGTGCCTGCACGGGGGGGGCGCAAACATTTTCCTTGTAAAAAAAGTTTGGGAATGACTGACTTAAGGTGTGTGTGTGTGTGTGTGTGTGTGTGTGTGGACAGAATTTGCACGCCACTATAGTTGTGAGGACCAACAGTCACTTATAGGGGCAAATTGCCCGACCGAGTTTGAAGGCATTTTTGCGGCTCAAAATGTGATTATAGTATCAGGGTTAGGATGAGGTTATGGTTACGTTTTAGGCCGAGAGTTAGGTATTCATTTGTGATTGTTGGGGTAAGTGGCTAGGGAAAGCATTATGTCAATTAGATGTCCTCACTAAGAAAAAAAAAAGTGTGTGGGTGTGTCATAAAAAAAACAAGACTATACCACAATTTTTCTTTTTTTGAAAAATAAAAAAGAAGGAAATTAATCAAAATTAAACTATAATTTTAAGTAAATAGTAGGATAATGGCGAATTCTTGATTATAGTAACCATTGTTTCATCAATGTTCAGGTACAAGAACTGGACTTAATAAGGAATGAAAAAATAGCCAATGCATAAAGACAAATTTCAAAGAAATTCAAAAACCCTGCTCAAGGGTTTTTGAACTTTAGAAAAAAATGCAAAAGTGTAGCTCCTTTGAAGAAAAAATATAAACAACTGTGGGTCACTCAGGACTTACACAAGTATGTATTAATCTATTCCACTTCTAAAAATGTGTCATTTAGTTGCTACACATTTTTTATGAATAAACATAAAGAGTAAAAGCCATCATAATATGAAACAGATGCAAACTTCTTTAGAGGCGGAGCCATAAACTTTTAAAATGTCCTCATGCCTCCTTATGGGTTATATCATCTCATGAATCAATTAAATGTTCATTTAGCAGCAGGTAGCAGTGATGTAAAGCATTACTAATTGATCAGCCATGTGGTTCATCACTGTGTACATCTTGGGGAAAGTACTTTAAAGACAAAATCACGATACTCCACTGCCGATCTGTGACACAGCAACAGAAAACCCCCACAACATTGTGCTTGCCGTTAAAGTCAGTTTGAAAGCTACTATTTAAACAAAGCTTCCACCTGAAAGGCTTCCTTTGAAGCTTTTGTGTGGAGGCTTAAAGTTTCCTTCAAATCCTGTTGTTCAAACCTTCAGACCTCACGTTAACAAGCTTCCATGGGAAAACTTGTTGAAAAGTTGTTTTTGTTTATTAAATTGGGGAATTCATCCAATGATCCAAATTGTATTTCATCTTTGTATGTTGCATTTAAACACAGCCGGAGCAGCTTTAGTTTTAAAGTCTGGAGCTTTCAATCTTACATGAGGGAAGTTTGATTACATCTAATAAATGGGGCCAGTCTTTAAAAATTCTCTTTAGTTGCAAATGGAAAGCGGCCAAGTTCTTGTGTTCAGACAGTGGTTTCCTGTGTGAGCCGTATGGTTTCACGCTCACATCCCCTCATGCATGCATGTGCACGCTGCCTCAACTAATTAGTACCTCTCTTTTTCACAGGGTTCTGTTATATCCTGGCAGACACATGGACAGGGAGAAATAAAACCGTCAGTTCAGGTGAGTATTTCCAACCTCTCGCTGCAAAGTACAAGATTTTTTGGGTTTCCTATCGGTCTTTAACTGTGCTTCCTTTACAGGCCCTCCACCTGACCTCTGGGGTAAGTCCTAGCTGTGGGACTTGATGTTGGTGGGCCCACAGAGCTGGCGTGCATGTGAGAAAGAGGTAATGAAGTCCAGTATGAGGCACTGGCGGAGGCTGATGCTGGTGGGAATACTGGCTTGGGCTCTCTTCTTTCTCGCCCTCCTGTCGTATTTCCTGGATGCTCGTGTGGATGAGCCCCTGACTTCTGCTGGTGCTTTACTCTCCCAGCACCCAGACACACGCCGTCTGGCCTCCATACAGGCCTCCCATCAACAGCATGCCATGGTAAAGCTGACTTTACCATTAACTACAACGTATCCCAGAGATAAACCAGAGCTGGAGCCTCTCGCCAAGTCCGGGACCCCAGAGACCAGCCTGGAGATGAGCCAGAACCCAAACAATCTTCCTTACGCTGTTTATGGCAGCCAGGAAGTAAGTCGCCAGGACTATCTTGACCCACAGAGCCTGGCAGCCTGGTCTTCCTTTGGTACAGAAAATGTGGGTTCTCACTCAGATCCTGTAGTCCAGAGTCGTGAGCGACAGTCACAGACTGCAGACTATCAGAACCACTTCAGCAACACTCAATACCAAGGTGGCAAGGAGGAAGATGATGAAAAAGAAAATGAAGATGAAGATCTGGGAAACAGAAGGAAGAACAGAGTACAGAGTATGGCCGGTGATGACTTCTCTGATCTGGAGGAATTCTATTTCTCCAAATCCATCTCGCTAATAAAGCGGCTCTGGAAGGGTCGAGTGTCGGCGGGCATGCTGAGTCTTCGACTGCAGCGTGCCATGAAGGAATACGTCAACTCCAACAAACACCATGTTTCCTACAAGGGGAATCGCAAGCCCACTCAGAGTGCCAAGGAGCTGCTTTGTGAATTGAAGAATCAGGCCCGGCTGAGGACAGTAGACGGGTTGGAGCAACCCTTCTCTTCACTTGGCTGGGCTCGTCTGGTGCCATCCCTTCCCCTGGAGCAGCTGTACAAAAAGGAGAACAAGAGAAGCTTCAAGACCTGTGCTGTGGTCACCTCTGCTGGGGCCATCCTTCGCTCACGGTTAGGCAAAGAGATTGGTAAGCACCAAATAAGTCACTTTCTGGCATTTTCCAGAAAAAGTCTACTGCAAACGTGTATTCTGTTGAAACTTGTGCAATTACAGATACTTTTTCCCGAATGTCTTAAATACAGCACTATAATAATTATATAATATAAATAATTTCCATGACATTCTTTATAACAAATTATGAGACAAAGTGGAGCCGGTGCTGCAATTAGAAGGCTTTGTGTGTCTCTGACAGTAAAGGCTAAAGTGGAATTCAATCCTATTCAACAGTAGTAAATTTTACAGAAATTAGTCTGTGAAGTCTTAGTGACTTCTTAGTCTTAGTCTTAGTCTCAGTCTTTGTCTCAGTTGACTGCAGGTGAGTGCATCTGACTGAAACTAGCATCAAGTCACAGGATGTAGAATTTCACTGAAGTGTTTTATGGAGAAACAGCAATACTCGGAATTAAGTAGGAACAATAATAAGTTGGACATGTTACTGCTGCCAAATAAAGGTGTTCCCCGTACCTAATAATAAATTACCATTAAATGATTCATTAGATTGTTTGATTGCTGCACAAAAGACTCGCCTGTTCTCTAAGTGTCCCACTCAGGAGTGGTAGTCTGAAGGTCAGCACATTTCCACTTTGTGCCTGCAGAGATTAGCATTTGCTCAGGTTTTTGTGTGGCTTTTGCTGATTAACTTGTCAAGCTGATTGTGCACAGCGTTGAGTGCGTGCCTAGTAAGCTAGATATCTTTGCATTTGAATGTGTGCGTTCTTGGTTTAGAGACTTTTGGCAGCTCTCTGGTAAGTGGGGAGAGTGTGAATTCAGTGACAGATGGCTCCGCAGAAAAAACAGAACCCCCTCTGGTAACCAATCAGGCCTCTTCACATCACACATAGCTTCCTTGGATTTCTCTCTGAGTTCAGCTGTTCAGGGCAAGCGCTAGAATTAATAAGAAGGTCTTCAGCTTACATCTCTATAGACTGATACGGGTATACAGATGTCACTGCCACAGAATACGTTTTACAAGAAAGACAAGAAAGTACACCACACAGAGAAATCACCACACAGACTTCTGCAGGTGACCCTTTGGTTATCAGTGAAAACATCGATGCCACAAGCCTTCAGTCTTTAGCGCGCTACTCTGTTGTGTGCTACTTGGAAATCAGCAGCGACATAATTTCCTACAATTTGAAAAACATACAAGCCACCTCCCATTGTTAGTGCATGAACACCCTTACACCTGACTTTTGGTATACGAGAAACAGTTGACTGAGATGGGAATGAGTTTTCAGTTTCAGGCACCAAATCTAAATCTTTCTGTATCATCATCTCCCGTGTTTGATTTTGATGCCTGGCCAGTCATGTGTCCCATATGCATGTTCTTGTATACAAAAAATGATAATAATAAATTCTACCAGTGTTATACGGTACTTTAGTCATGAATTAAATAAAGAGCTGTTCTAAACGGTATCCTGAGTTGGTGTGATTACACACATACCTTCCTATAGAAAGCCGCTGTTGATGATTTCTGAGGTCACCCACATCTCAGTGTAAAAACAGCTGCAGGATTAGGTTAAAAGATGTTTAAATGATGTGCTGTAGTGTCTTGATAAATGGGACCGTTGTTATGAAGCTGATTATTTATTGAACAGCGTCACAGTGCTTTAAAAGAAACAGCATGAATTTGCTACATTAATTCTCAGGCTTAGCTTCAGCAGGAAATCAGATGGCATTGATCTCACTCTGTCTACTCATTCTCACCCTGTTGGACCCCCTGAAAGGCTTCTCTGTGCCAAAGCCTGTATTTTGCAGGTATGAACAGTGAGTCATTCATTCATTCAGGTAACCTGTCCGGACTTGAATATGACGACCACATCGCTCTAAGTTTTGAGAATACCAGAGGCAGGTTGACTGACTTTTGGATTGTAATGTTCCTAAGTGTCTATACACCACTGAGGCCATGCTGTGAGAGTTTGTTGGTCAGAACTTGGTTCAAAGTGTGGTGATGTGTGCCTGCCATCATGTGGTGAACACGGCAAACTGCATCCTCATTCCAAACACGATATGGAGAAGATTCGTCTTTGGCAGGATTATTCAGTTTGATGCAAACATGCTGCAGTAAAACACTCAATTCAGAGGCTTGTTTTATTTATCAGTGTTTAGACACAACTCTAGTGTCATTTATATTTCAAATTTACCATGCGAGATAAGTAAATATGCTTGAATATCAGTCGTCTCTAGAAACTGTCTCATTTTTTTTGCAACTCTTAAGTATGGATTGTCTTGATGCATGCTCTATTATCCAGGTGAATTATGAGAGAGAAATAAGAGTTATGCGAATTTGCATATTAAGGATGAAGGAACTGACCTTCCGGCCCATTGTTCTTTCAGTGGGCTGGTTTCAGTCATTATGCAAATGGACTTTTTAAAAGATTGGGGAAACCTGCAGTGAGCTGTGACAGAAGAAGTCACTCCCACTGAAAACGCTACATCCAAATGAACAGAATCAACTTTTGGGGAAGTCTGGATTGGCACCGTCCAATGGCAGTATTAAATATGTTGCTGAAATGCAAGAGGTTTTTCCTGAACTTGTTTTTCCAGAATAATACAGACAGTTTCTTAAACTTGAACCAAGTCATATATACCTGTCCCTGTTTGCATAAGGGGAATATTGGTCATTATAGTAACAAGAGACAAAATAATAAGCAGTTATTCATGTAACTCCATTTTACTTTAGTGAATAGTTATGGCAAAAAACTGAGAATTTATCTTCTTTTTCTTCTACTACTACTAGTACTACGGTACTGCAAGTACTTTAATCTCAGAATTCTGACTTTTTTCTCAGAAGTCTGATTTTTTTCTAAGAAGGAGTGAGCAATGAATTTTTTCCAGGAACCCCATGAGAAACTGGGCCGCACCACTCAGCTAGACTCAGTTCTGCTCTCATTAATTTTATTATTATGTGCTACGCTTTACTAAGTGATCCTTTTTTTATCCTTTCTTTCTTCTGAAGGTGTTAAATAGGCGTTTGGCCTCCATCAAGATAGAGGCTGATCGCTGCTTGAAGTACTCTTCTTTAAAGCCATCCTTCTGCTTGAGCTCTATAGAGAATGGACATGTTTACTGTGTTTTATTAGAGCCTTGTTTGCTGTTGTGAAGCTGCTCTGAGTTGTAAACCTGCTGGTGGCAGTGATGAAGGGGTATCAGATCACAAGCTGAGGGATCATCCATTTTGGTGTTAGTTCAATGCAGGAGGAGGACGCCTGAAACTGACAGATCGATCAGCAGACAGGCAGGAATTAATTTGTAATTGTTACAGCCGCCATCCATCAAGGTGAGGATTTCAAGTTGTTGAGGACCGTGAAGGACATGTGAACAAAAAAAACAGTAAACCCCTTATGTGAGCCATGGCTCTTTGTTTACCTGAGCCAACCACCGGTTACATCCCCGAGCCTGTCAGATATTGTTGTCAACAATTAGTGCAAGTGTGATTTTCATCCCAGTAGTCAGTGTGTCGTCACTGACTTTGGTTGAGGTGCTTGGTTATTGAGACGTTTGCGTGTGTTTTCTCCTCTAAATAAATTAGGACTAAGTAGAAATTCTGAAAGATGATGGTAATTGCTTTAAGACCTTTAAATACATGAGCTGGTAACATTTGGGAGAGACATCTGATATTTGTTTGTACATCTTCAAAGCCTGGCTTCACCTTTTAAGTTTTTTTTTTATATTGCTATGTCTAATTTTCTAAAAAAAACTTTTTATGGAGGGAAATTGTCTGTATATTCCCATGATAACAGATGCAACTCAAGGCCAGTTTGTTACCTTGCTTTGAAAAACTACATGGTTTCCCTTTCAGACGCTCATGATGCAGTTTTACGTTTCAATGCTGCACCTACAGAAGACTATGAGAGAGACGTGGGAAACAAAACCACTATCCGCATCATCAACTCGCAGGTGAGTTAGGGTGAGGCCTTAAATGACAGTGAATCCTTAAAAGAAACAGATTTAAAAAATACAGTCATTTATATTTTCAACTCACTATTTATGTAGCAAAGTGATGCCTTTAGAAGTGTATAAAGTGTATAAATGGTCAAGTGTTTCATCCAAATGACAAGGAGTTCATTGTACTCAAATAATCTGAACTCAATGGTATGAACTGTTATTAGCAGATAGGCTAGTTCTTTGGAAAAAAAACACCAACAGCTTCTTTAGTCTTTGTTTTGTGTAGTCTGTCTGGAGATGTTTAAACGTTTGCTTTGCTTGGCCAAAAAATCATATTTGTGTAATCATATTTACTGGACAGGTTTTATGTTGGTATCTGCCTCCTAGTCTAATTTATAGTAGGCACATAAAGAGGTTCTCTCTGTGTTTTTATTTGTATTTTGGCAAAATAGTGACCATGCATCTGAATGATTGTGCTTTACATTTGAAAGTAAGATTTACATTTCATGTGCTGTGTTACAGATTTTGGCAAATCCTAGGCATCGGTTCAATACGAGCTCTATCTACAAGAATATAACTCTGGTGGCCTGGGACCCCGCACCTTATGCTGTCAACTTACACAAGGTATATGTGTTTTCACTTTAGCAGTTTCAGCAGATCATTGTCACAAGGTCGCAGTGAACCGAGAGAAAAGGAGTATAGGAATATTAAAGTGGGTCGTCTTAGGAAAGTGAACACAGTTATTGTTGTGTATGTAGCCACAAACACATGTAGGAAAAGAACATGATGTCATCTCGTCTATCTCTGACTTCTACCTGCCCTTTAAAAGGTTTGATTCATGTTAGCAAATGTGTCCAAAACAAGATTTTATTCCGAGGCTCCTTTCCCCTTATCCTCCTCTCCATGCTTCCCGTTAATTGTTATTCGGTGAATGGCCTGATTGTTTGAGGTTAAAATATATTTGCATTTCAATGATTTCATTTATCTGGTGAATTACTTGGAATTTCTTTTTTTCATCATCATCATTATTATTATTATTATTTTTATTTTTTTTAACGCTTTAATTAATTTTCTGAAGGACATCACCAAAACAAACAAGATCAATTATATTCCTGCATTAACCTTTAGTCCTTTTAATCAGTGCTGTGCTGCTAGATTAGGTCTTTACGTCAGAATATATCAGATTAAGTAAAGATTAAAAAAAATGGCTGATTTGTTAGTTTATTACTATCCATGCAAATAGAGCCAGAGTTCAAGCCTGCATGCAGTACATTGCTATATAGCTGCAGTATTTGCCATACTGCTCACCCAACTGCTCACATAACCAGTAGACAGCACGGTAAAGAACAGGATTACTGGATGTGGACTGATGGGATTTTAATAAAGAACACGATGCTCCACTGACACTTGACCTTTGTCTCTACATCCATGTTTTCAATTCTATCCTCACTCATTGTCAGTAGTTAACCTTTGGAAATACTGGAAGGTGTTGTTGCTGCTGTGTAGTTTCTTGTAGCTTTTAGCACCTCGCAGTGTGTCTGTCATGTAGCTTTCCTTCTCGTTTGTTCAGTTTATTTTTACTTTGTATCCCATGATACTCGCCAAACGATTAAATGTGTTACAATTCTTAACTTTATTTAACTTAAATATAAGTAAACTGCTTGTTAATGCAAATATCTAACCAGCCAATCACATGGCAGCAGGTCAGTGCATTTATGCATGTAGACATGATCAACACGACCTACTTCAAAGTTCAAACTCAGTAAAAATGAGGGAGAAAGCTAGGGTTTTGAATATGTGGTTGTTGGTGGCAGATGGTCTGGTCTGACTATTTCAGAAATTGCTGAGCTACTGGGATTTCCGACACAACCCACAACCATCACTAGGGTTTGCAGAGAATGGTCAGGAAAAGAGCAAATATCCAGTTTGGCAGTTCTTTGGGTGAAAATTCCTTCAAATAGAGACTGTTTATAATCAAGGTATGCAGAAGAACACACAACATGTCAAGCCTTGCCCAGATGGGCTACATCTGGTTTTGTGAATGTGACAGTGAGTTCATTAGGGGTGGTAGTGGTGATATATATTTTCAGTGATATAGCAGCAAATTAACTAGGCATATAATTATTTTCTTTCTCCTTTTCCCCCTTATTTTTCAACTAACCTGCAGTTCACAAGAGCATAATAAACCTGCACATTCTGTTTTTGGTGTGCCACCCCAATATCTTTAGTGGCCCCCATATGGCCACCCCTATGAAAAAAATCTGGAGGCTCCCCTGATAGTATACCAAAAAACAGCATTATATTTACATATATTATAAGTTGAACTGCTTACTTAACATGCCAGTGCAGTTACTATTTATTATCCCATGCATGGATTGCAGTAATTTCCATTGTGTGTTATATAGTTTCTCAAAATATACATTCGCAGTAGTTGGGTCTTTATTTCAAAGCCCTTACAAAGATTTACATTAAAAGCCATTAATTCATAATATTCAGCTCTCATGAATTAGTGGAACAACTGTTATTTAATTTGGCTTTTAATGATAAACTGCAAATTATGAACAATGATTTCAGGCTCTCCTTTATTTCTGCTGTCAAACTGGAGATGGTACAACTGCTGAAAATGGACATGCACACTCTTCCACGAATCCATTATGAGTACTTGGCACACCGATTACATCAGTTTTCTTATAATTTCATTTGTCCAACTGTGATGTATCCCTACAGTGCACTTGCTGTCTTCAATCACAGTATTGTTCTCTATACAGCTGTGCTGCACCGTGCATCTAAGACACTTAACATTTTCTGGGATGTTTTGACAGCTTAAAATTTCAGTCAAACCACCCGATTGACTCCAGAGCCCTTCAATTTCCTGACCGGAAATAGTCTCTTACATAGTTTCAATGACTCTAAAGTTTTAAGCATAACAGTCATGCTACTATAAGACAGCAGCTCACTGACTTTTCTGTTGAGAGGCTGACTTGTTGGTGGGAAATTATCAGTATGCACTAGGCTTACATCTGCAAAAGGTCCTCACCTAAACCAGGATTTGTTCTGCACATGTACACACTTCCTTTCCGAGCATTTAGTGTAGCTACATCGATTTGTTCTGCCGCTATGATGTTATTTCAGGAAATTACATTTAATATGCTTTAGTTCTATTTTGTTAAATGCATACCCTGTAAGCCATACATTATTTATGATAACAACACAAACCTCACATGAATAAAACATAATCATCTAAACCGTGAAAGAAAGCATAAATACAATTCAATTGTATTCCAGAGCCACTCAACATGATACAGCATAAAACAGCAGTGACGGATGTTTTATCTGTATGGGCGTTTTGTGTTTTTTTGCAATGTTCGCAGTCCGAAGATACATTTGACTAAACTTTAGCATCCATTCAGAGGAGTTTTTTGTCCAAATGTTAGAGACTGACAGATGTTTGCAAAGGGCTGCACTCTATCTTTAAACATCTTTTCCTTCTTATCTTTTGCTTAAGGGGGGCTTTTTTAGCCTTTGAAATAGGGTGGTGGAGAGAAGACAGGAAACACACAGCCATGAGTCGATTCAAACTCAGGCCTCTGAAATAGCCATATGGCATTTGGGCCACTTGCTCAACCCAGTGAGCGATACTACTGTTGCTATTTTTGTATTGACTGCAGTCTTCATTGCTTTGAATAGTAGAAAAATCCTCTATATATCAGAAACATTTTTAATTATTGGAAGAAAAAAAATCACGTTGTCTTATTCTTATCTGACTCGTGATTTGAGATTAAATCTGTCTGCTGTGTTATCTCTCGTCAGTGGTACACTAGTCCGGACTACAACCTGTTCGGTCCGTACATGGAGCACCGCAAGCTGCATCCCGACCAGCCCTTCTACATCCTTCACCCTAGCTATGTGTGGCAGCTCTGGGACGTGATTCAGGGCAACACAGAGGAGGACATCCAACCCAACCCCCCATCATCTGGCTTCATAGGTGAGTGCACACTCACGCATGTCTTGCATGCGTGCAGTGGTTGCACATGTGATGCACGTCTGTCCCTTCAACTGCTTCTTTGTTGTTATCTTTGCAGATTGTTGCCCGCTCCTATAGCAGATATATATGTATATATGCACACAAACACACGCACACTTGTTTGCTGATAGTGTCACTGAATGCACAGTGACACCATCAGCAAGTGGCAGGGTTATGCAAAATACCAACACACTCGAAACCATTAAATTTAAACAGACAGGAGTGTAGATATGCACTTCACCTTCCTGTCCTGTTGCACTGTGCATTCTTATACATGATGCTAGGAAAATGGGAAATTGGTTCGGTTGTCTTATTCTTGAAAAGCTGCACACATCCTGAACTCGCTAGGGAAAACTTTCCTGAAATTTCTTTAAGTAGTCTTCATTGAATAGTTGTCCAGGCTTCTTGAAATATTTTCAAAGCTCTTCTTTGGATGTTGTATTTTTTTAGGCCTGCCAATTCTTGTTTTGTCCTCCACCTATCAATTTCCCTCATATTTCTCAAGGAAACACCGCACACCATGCTGAGATATTTTTCAGCTAAAAGCTCTTTGAGAATCACCTTGGTGGGAAACATACTATTTTATGCTTATCAAACTGGCATTTTCCAGATTCGTCTGAAAAGATTCTGCTAGAGAAAAAACAACACATTTTTGAAACAGGAAAGCAACAAAGACTCCACAAGAACACGAAATCTAAGTAGCATTCACGCTAGTGAGCAGATATTTGCTGTACAAAGGGAAAAACTTGCAAAAGCATAAATAAAGCATCAGCTATAAAATATCTAAACAGCATATTAAAAAAAATAAGTCAATTCAACTTCAGCGGACTGCAGAGGGTTGCACATGAGCGCAGAGGAGAAACTGGTCACTCTTTAATCTAATTACACTTTTCTTTTAGTTTAATCTAGCAGCTCTGCTGCATCACAACCCAGGAATCTGCGCTTTGGTTTGCAGTGCATCGGGCGACCCACGTTACAGCTGGTTTTCATTGTGACTGCACTTGGTGATAATCTGTGAATCAGTCGCTGATTACACAGCTTAAATGGAAGGCAAAAGAGCTTTACACTGGAGAAACAAAACCCTGCTGAAGTGTTAGGCATGACTGCCTGTATTTAAAATGTCACAATATTCCTTGGAGGACTCTGTTGTTTATACTTGTCATGTTACTTTAAATTAGACTGTTTTCCACTGAGCTGAGATTTTGACCTTCAGGGGGAAATAAAAAGCCGTCACCCATCTGTTGCTGTTACAGGATGTGTGTCCATCCTTTTTGGTTTTAGACATTGGCGTTTTGTCAAAAGTGATTAAGAAAAACTTATTATTTTCTGTTTTGTCCTCATTTGCACCTCTTTAATTTAGGAAATACACGAGCACTGGGCTATTAAGAAAAAGTTCCTTTTGCTTTTTATAATATTCACAATGTCACACCATCCTCCAACCTAATTTACAATGCATGATACAACGTTCCTTTTTCAGCAGCAGACATTTTTATTAAATCAATTGAATCCAGCAATAAAATACAATTAAACTGGTGACGATAATGTTATTTGTAATACCCAGCATTTCTGAACAGACTACTCTTAAAATGAATTTCATCCGAGTCACAATTACAAACACAATTTGACTTAACTAATAACACAGTGCTTTTCTTGTTTTTATTGAATACACTGAGCAGTCAGCTGCATCGCAGACTGGAAAAAGTAAGCAAAGCTTTTTTTGTGGCTTATTTTTTTTGCTTGCAGCCTCTTGAGGAACCACCAACCTCAATCACACATTTTCTGTAGGTCCTGAATGGCACTGCACAAAAGCGAGGAGATCATTTATCCAAGAAAATGACTCATCAATATTTTCTGCAACTCTATGTCAGTGGGTTGAGGTCTGAGCACTCTGACCTCACTTGTAACTTCCTTTATCTTGAGCAGGTCCTGGTCCATTATAGTTCTAGATCTACAAAAGCAGTAAGATACTGATATCTGCTTTATGTCTTGCAGTTGTCATTTAAGTAAGGCCAGCTAAATGTAATCAGTTTCCCTAAATTTGTGCATTGTGTTTCCGAGATATGCCCTTAATTTCCATCAGTCATCAGACTGGAATCCTTTTTCTGTGGCTGGCCATACTGGATAATCATTTTGAAACACTGGCCCTTTTATTCTGGAAAGAAGGTGAAATCATACCTGCAAAAACACCTGCAAAGAAACAACTTTGTAAGACCAACTAAATCATAACCAAAGAAAGCACAGCACAAACACAAAAACGAACACAATTCAAATAAACGCCTTCATGCAGAACAAAACTGAAGTACACGCATGATAAAAGTAATAAGGATAAGGTTCTGGGGCCTTAACCTTTCGTATTCTTCAACATCTAAAGCCAAAGCAGCAGGAGGAAAAGAGGAAAAGCAGAGTTAAATGATGATTACATCAGTCTCCTTGCTGATCAAATCACAAGTCTGCGCAGTGATCTCCCCATTTACAGTGACACAGCGACTGAAAAGCACCAAGGAACAGGCGCTGTTTTATTGTTTTTTTTTTTTTTTTACTCTTTGTTTAAAATGTAAATTAAAAAAGATCCTGTAGTTCAAAAAATAAATTTGACCTTTTTAAACTGTAGGATGAAAACTAAGAATATGTAATATACTGAAATATATTATATATAATATATACTGAAATTAATGTAATGCATACACATCAGTTCAGAAACAGACTAAAACCTTGAACCCACCACAGTGACGGTGCCCTTTATTAAAAAATACATATTTTTAATAGACGCAAAAACTTTGAATGAAGTTCTTTTTTTGCATGTACTGAACAGGAGAAGGTGCGTGGTGGATGATAAAACTGATTGATACCAACATGTCTGGTTGCATCACACATGGGTGTTCATGTATGTGTGTGTTTGCATACTTTACATGCATTTCTGTGGTCGTTTAGCACTTTTGTGTTATGTATAGTAAAAAAAAAAAGTTTTAAAAGGGCACATTTATGGTCTACAAATACAAGTTTACACATAACACGAAAAAGCACATCTACTTTCTGAAAGCTCTTGTCCACAGTCCACTGGAGTTCACATTGTGGGTTATTCGTGCTTCATTGTGATGGCGGTGATTTCTGTCTGATTAATGCTCATGTTCAGGGGGTGACCTCTGGAGGGTTTGTGTGCTTGGTGTCTGCGGTGCTGTAGCACTGGTTGAGAGCTTCGGTGGAGATCTGGGCAGTGCAGGCCACCGTGTTGCTGTAGACGCGCCGGTTAAGGTGGATTACCGTAGTCTTGGACGGCATCGAGGTGTCGCCTTTCTCCGATGACCAGCAATCGCAGTGAAACAGAATCAGGAAACACCTGTAAAACTGAGAGGGAGAGGAAAATAGTGGAATCACTGCACACTCACAAGCAGGCGAAGGTGTTTTACAAACAGTAAACTGAACTGAAGCATTTCTCACATATAGTAAAGAAAAAAATATTTGCATAGGGAAATGGTGCTGTCTGGATAAGTATGCAGGGTGGTGTATACAAAAATTCACTTGGTGGCTGTAAATTTATTGGCCACAGTATTCTGTCAGGGGTGAAATCGAACAGTCTGTTAGATATCTGTGTTCTCCATTGTTTTAAGGTCTTGACCAGTTCAAGACTGGAGTGCATATGCAAATGAAAATGGCCTAATGGTATGTTCAGACTGACTGAAATTGTTGGTTTGCTTTTTGGAGACCACAAATATTTTTTAGCCAACACCAGAAGCAAAACTGCAAATAAAAGAAGGCACTTTTAGCTGCTCTCTTATTTCCCAAAGAATCTCCATGGCGACTGGATCTGCATATTTTGATTTGGCAAAGATTTTATATCCTTTCATACTCTTCCTGACAACAACCGCCTTATTTATCCAGGCTGGGGACTGACAGCAGGAGTACACTAGTTGTAACCCCCTTTGGACCTTTTCTAAAACACTATACCACAGAGCCGCTAGAAGGAGAACTTGAGTATGATTGAGAACTCATTTATGATTTTGCCAAATTTTCTCCAAACATTCTCCTTCTTTTTTTTGCTGCACAAATATGCCTTTACATAAACTCTATGTGTAATCTAACTGTAAATAATTCTTTTAATGTTCCCAAATTGAAAACGAAGTGATGGTTGGTAAAAGAAAAGGATCTGTTGTCATGGTAAAGCAGGTTACCTCCAGCACTTGGCGCTTCATTTCTTTGAAGGTCTATAGCACAGACATCCTTATGACATCCTTAGGATCTTGTGGAAGTGACTCATCCATCCAAATTACAACTCTGTCATCAGTAACTCATGTTTTTCAGCTTTGCCTTCATATTAATGGGGTACAGTTGTTAGGGGGAATATAGAATTCTAATAATGCCACTGTTGGAGGTCTTGCTGCAGCTCTCCCCACTTCAGGTTTTGCACAATGGGGGAGTGGAGAGGTCTCAGAACATATCACCAGCCATACCACCAAATATAATTACTGCGGAAGGAATAATTATTCTCTCTGACTAAATAGTCCTTGCTAAAATATATGTGTGAGGTCACTGTTCTTTGTTTTAGTTGCATTTCACAGCATAAGAAAAATCCAGAACTTGCTAAAGCAGGCAAAGTCGAAGACTTCATATATTATTCGCAGTGTTATAGTTTTCTCCTCCCCTCTTTCAGCACAGTTGAGCTTCACTTTTAGTCTCTGCTTGTCCTTTGCACATTTTCGGATCTAATAGAAATTTGCCAAGTTTGTGCTAAATTCCTTTTCCGAAGACGTATCAAATGCCCGAAAGGCTCGCACACCTTTGATAATCAGATGTTTCCCACCAGGCCGTGTATTTGTTATCGGCCCACACTGATAGCGACCTTTACGAAAACTGAAAGGATTTACCTCATCTCCCGGCTTTAAGAGTTTCCGTTTTGTGAATGTCACGACGGGTTTGTAACGTCTCTACTTTGATCCCTGGAGCAGATGAAATAAAATGGATGTCATTAATTTCTCTTTGGCCATAAGATTAGATTTTGGTTTTACCAGATTGCTTCCAGGTGTGAATGTGTGTTTTGACAGGGATCCTGGGGGACTATTGCCTTAAAAGAAGAGAGAATCAAAGACAGGAACAGAAGGTTTTAGCGTTGTATTTTATAAGTATATATGTTATTTTTATGTTCTAATAATTTTGTAATGTTTGGACCTCAAATGTTTGGCTAAAAAGTTGAACTCTAATTTAGTTGGCAAGTGTTGTGTGAAAATATTTATTTTCTCCTGTATGCTGACATTGCAGGTATCCTCCTGATGATGGCGCTGTGCGAGCAGGTGCACGTGTACGAGTACATTCCCTCCATGAGGCAGACGGACCTGTGCCACTACCACGAGACCTACTATGACGCTGCGTGCACACTGGGTGCCTACCATCCTCTCCTCTATGAGAAAAGCCTGATCCAGCGAATCAACATGGGCCCTGTGAGTGACCTCGAGAGGAAAGGACGCGTCACTCTTCCAGGCTTCAGCACCGTGAACTGTGACATCTGATATATGAAGCCTGGCCTCATGAGCCCGGACGTCACACACACGAACACGCACACACTTCTGGCCTTTTCAGGCTAACCATGGGAGAGGTGCAATAATGCCCCTATGGACAAGGAGGTTGAAGCTTGCAAGTTTCAAATAAAACACGTGAAGAGCATAAGCCATAGCCCTCCAGGGACGGATAAACATAGAGGTTTCTGAAAGACCTTGTCTTTATTACGATGGTATACTTGACCAGAGGCTGGAAATTAGAGTCTCCAGGGTGGAGCTGAAAAAAATAAATAAATAAAATAATATCAAATTTCTCTCTGCTTTAGCTGAGCCACGTTAGCTGTGGAGCTGACTAGGGTAGCAACTGATCTTGTTTTAGGTAGGCAAGTGAATTTTTAATAACTGGGTGTGTTTCCAGTGATGTAAAATCTGTGTTTCTCAGTACTATGGATGGTTTTCCACTTTAAGGAACTGTCACTCTTTATAACGGCGAATTGTATAATTATTTTTTTTATATATATATATACTGGTCCAAAGGGTTGTGAATAAACAAATCATCCATGTTGAATGTCATAGGTACACAAACTCGACGCAAAAGTACATGCAGAAGAATGCAAACTAAAAGAAAGATGAGAGGAGCTGTCAAAGCTATCACGTTACTGTACATATTCCTGCAAAATCATTGTAATGAGGGGTTGATTTCATACTACTGAGCTTATTACTGAATTATTGTTCTGTGCACGCTGACTGATAACCACCAGTTTGTCACGTTTTGTTTTGTTTTGTTTTGTTTTTTTTTTTGGGGGGGGGGGGGCATTTCTGTACTTAAATCAGAGTAAACGGGGCCAAAACAGAACAAACAGGTACTCAGAACAGCCGTGACCCTGTGCCTAGCAGTCAGCTGAACACTTTCCTCGGGTTGCCTTGTGACTGTTCAGACACATGCAGTACACACTCTAGCAGGACTGCAGTACCAATCAGTTCGATGTGTGGAGCAGTAGACTTTCCGAAGTGATGCCTCAGCAATCACCAGCCCCTGTTTTTGACGGTCAGTTCACTCTCTAATGAATGTAATTTTAACACTGCGTGTTGTGGCCAAACCCTTGCTGGAGCTCATCTCTGCGGGGTTATTTCTTTATTGCGTAACAGCATGAAGTGCATTCCCTACAACTATAAATGTCTCATATTTTCTGAATCCTCTGGTATTAGTCTGTGCCTACCCGCAGCTCAGAGTAGAGACAATTATGAAAGAGGAATTTGGACCTGTACTAACCTCGGATTTACTTTGTCTCCAAGGTAGGGTGGATTTTATGTTTACAGAGTGCCGTGTCTTCAGCGACCTCGAGGTATTCGGTCTGTGGGAATGAGAGCATCTTTTTTTCTTTGTAACAGATTGATCTTGTGCCATTCGTTGTGGTTTGTTGAAAGATATGAAAACATAATAGAAATGTTGCTTTAAATAGAATGATGTCGCTCTTCAGTAGAAACACTAGAGCATAGTATCACTTAGATAATAGCTGGTGTTAACAGGAGCTGGATAATATCTGGAATTTGTCAGTATTTACCAAAGGACATAAGCTTTTTTTTTTAAACCCCCCCCCCCGAAAAAAAAACCCATCTTGTACGACTTAGACAGCTAAAGACAGTTACTACCACTGGTGTTTTTTTTTAAATTAAAGTATTTATGTACTGTAAATTTTGATATTATGCATTTGTTTACCAGATTTAATAATCAGGTGGCAATTCAGTAAATTACATGGATGACAAACGTACTGCTTCACATAAAGGGAATTTCTCTAAATCAAGAATTTGCTCATTCTCACAACAGCTTTTTCTTGCACTCGTGTAGCTGACTCAGTTGAAGTTTTATAAAAATATTTTGATGTTTTGTTGTGGACACATTTCTTTTCCAAACCCCCTTAAACACTTGCTTTATATCCAGACAAGTCATTCAACTTTTCAATTAATTAAATTAGTCGCTGTAGCAGGTGTATGACAAATATTTGGGTCATTTTGCAAAAATGTTATGTATTTTATTTTTTTCAAATCTCCCACTTTAATTTTGAGTTGATGCACAATATCCCCCTAATTTCTAGTTAACAATGTAACATAAAATCTTACGCCCACATACCTAACAACTCCACGTGATTACTATATGGAGGACATGATCTTTCTCTTGGAGCCCCAAAGCTGACAGAGTTGGTGAATATCAACCGACAGAGCACAAATAAATGAGGCGCCAGTGATTGTTCTGTAGAAACAAGCAACATTTCTTTGTGCGATGCTAAGAGTGTGTTCATCTGTGCCTGCTAGAAATCGAGTCTTAGTTGCTCCGTCCAGGTCGCCATTTACACTCCGGAAGCACCGTTCACTGTTATCTTTGTGTTAGCATGTTTGCCTTTGCAGGTGCTTGTTGGGGTTTGATTCCATGTTTGCAGCAGTGGATATCGGTCTCTAGCCTGGCCACAGTTTGCACTTCACCATCACATCCATGTCCCTTTGTGCAATAATTTGGGAAATCTGCGCACACCTCTACACTCTGCCGTTTTTGTTCCCACACATGAGCACATTGAAAAGGCATTTTTGTCATTTTTGTTGGGTTTTCTCCCCCCTATTTGCTCAAAAAAAATGAAGAACGTTTGTAATGTGATTAACAACTTGTTTTATTTGTAATGTTGTTACTGAATTAGCTCAGTAATGCCAAACATTACAGCAATAGTGACAAATGTAATGCGATTGCAGTAACGCATAACTTGTATAGAGGAGGTAGTTTAGATGCTTAATTAAGGACTTATGATTCATTTTAAACAATGCAGGTTTTTTCGCTCTGCTGTACGTCTTATAGTTGCGATAAACGATAAAATGTGCTTGTGATTGTAGCACACTGAAGGTGTGAAAGCCCTGAACGTATTGTACGTGTGCATTGTAGTAACAGGTTACTTTCCAATGCACAGAGCATGCAATTCAGGAGCAGGGCTAGGTCTTAAACTGTCTGTGCTGTACTGTGATGCAAGTAGGCACCATTGTCTTTAATGTTGTGAAAGGCATTCGTGCTTGCAAGGTTTTCTTTTACTGAAGTGATGTTTTGCAGATTTTATTGCATGCTTGTGGATCACATTCATCTGCAGTGCGGCTATCAGCCGCTCCATGGGAAGTGCTTGATCAGGTGCAATGCCTTCTGGCTACTTCATCTTTGCATCTTTAATATTGTGCCAAATCTCATCTTTAATTGTGTTCCAGTTTGGGTGGGTTATTCATGGGATGAGGACTCAGAGTAACAGTAGGACTTCTTAGGTGCTTCTTTCTGCAAAAGTCGAGCTTAACTGAATTTTGTATTCTTTTTAAGATGGGACATTGTAGTCAAACTTGACATTAATGTTCTTTGGTAGTGAAGTAGTGAGTTGAAAAATATGTTTGAAGACATGCGTGTAACATTTACCACTTCGAGCCTCTTTCTGTCTGCTCTTTACTCTCGAGGCCTATTTTTCATGTCGAGTTTTTAACAAGTGTTGTGGGGATTTCTGTACCACACTGCCTCTGAAGAATTGTTTAACATTTGTTCTTTCTATAGCAACCTTTTTGCAGTATTCTTCAGATGAGGAAGAGGAAAGGAGTGAGTAATGAGAGGGATTGTTCTGTTTCCCTTTTAAGAGCCTTAGGGCATTCTTCTTGATTTTTTTTTATTTCTCTTTGGTCAGTGAAATCTCTTGGTATTACACTTGAATTGATATTTAAATCAAGCAGTTCTATGATTTCAGCTGTTGTTTGTCTTTTTCTACTGTGTAAATAAAGCTGTTGTACATGTTCAAATCTGTTTTTCAAAATTATAACTCTTGATTTTAGGTAAGACACGCACATGCACATAATAGCGACTTACCTGTTTGTTCATAAGTATATAGATGAGGGGGTTGATGACGGTACTGCTCTTGGCGAGCAGTGAGGGAACTACACTGGCCACAGGGCTAATGATGTTGGGTGGGCCAAATGTTGCCATCATTGCCACAACACCATAAGGCATCCAGCACAGCAGGTAGCAGGCTGCAGTGGTCAGCACCATGAACAGAATGTGGTATTCTCTCCTCCGGGCTGCAGTCTTTCGGATCTTACCCACCTGTGAATAACGGAACAGGAGAGAGAGGAAAAAAAATATTTCTGGAAAATTTTGATTTGAATTTCCTGAAGTGTGTCTTATATCTAGGAAACATTAAAATTACTTCTTTTTCACTGCTCTCATGTAGTAATCGCAAACAAAATGCAGCAGTAGCTCACCTGGCTCACGAGTCATCACAAATCTTACACTGACAAAAAGGGATTGGCCATCTCTTGGGTTTATGTAAGCATCTTGCGTGTATTTAACACAATTGCCTCATGCTTTAAAGTTAAGTGTAACTATATAGTGTAGAAACTACATGATATGCAGAGAGGGTAGATTAAATTGTTCATATCATGTTCGAGTGAAGTAAGTCAATGATATATCAATGTTAAATCTCGTGACACCGCACGGGATTTCAGTCTCGTGCGCTTTGGATTGTGGTTTGAGGAAGGCATCCATCTCAGTCAAGTCGAGCAGCCGCCTCTAAATTGGGTGGTTGTTACATTAATAAAGTCTACCTTGTAATTTGAACACAAAAATTTCATGTTTCTATCTTGAACGTAATTAAATCATGTAGGATCTGTATGAAATTTAACAGCTTAATTTGTATCATGTCATCTCAACAAGAACAATCTAGTAAGAGTGGTTAGTTGCTGGACTCATGAAATTCACAAGATCGCACAAGATTTCAAACTGCAGTAAAATCACTGGAGTTATAAGAGGCAGACAACTACACACACACCACGTGTATGCTTTTGCTATTTATTGTGGTTTAACCTGTCAAGCACAAAAACATACAGAAAATTTTGCATCAAGCCTTAGAAATCATAGCTTTCCTACTTTTGTTAACCCTGGATTGGTGGCATGGTGATTAGTGCTGTTGCCTCACAGCAAGAAGATCCTGGGTTCAAATCCACAATCTGGCTAGTTTGTAGTGGTTTCTCTCTGGGTATTCTGGTTTCCTCCCACAGTTAAAAGTCATGTAGTCATTAGAGTTCGGTTAGGTTAACTGGTGATTCTAAATTACCTGTGAATGTGAGTGCAAATGGTTGTTTGTCTCTATGTGATAGTCTGGTGAATTATCCCGACATATTTTTAGATATATTGGCAAGTGTTTGAAAATGTCTCTTTTATAATTATAGTTTTCTGAGTGCAACCATTTATTTTCAATCCCATGAGAGCCTACTGATTAAAATTAATAGCAAGGGTGAGTACTCATATACCTCTTTTCCACCAACACAATGTCAGTACTGGTGTGGACCTAGTTCCTCCTTATTGAGTGGTGAGAACCATGCAAACTTTGACAGGTTTGACAACTGAGGATTGTTGCTCAACTTTAGAGATAAATTGAACAGCTTGGTCATTCAGGAGGGCACAGAGTAGATCTGCCACTCCTCCACAACAGAAGAAGCTAAGTGAGGTGTTTGGGACATCTGACTAGGAGCAAGCTCGGGGGCAGACAGAAACAAGTTTACATCTCTTAGCTTAGATGGATAGACAGAGGGGAGGTCTGGGCATCTCTTCTTAGACTGCTGCTCTCTTTACACAAACTCAGATAAGTGGCAGAAAATTAATGGATGGATATGTTACATGTCACAACTTTTTATGAGTATGTATTGTAAAACTACATAATTTTCTTTTTAAACCGTATGCATGGAGATCCCATTGCATCACCTTATCTGCACCAACACAGAGTGGCCTGCTTTAGTTCAGCAGTAAAGCATCAGCCAAACTGTATAAAGTTAGATGCACTCTTTGATTTAACCTGAACTTATTAGGCTGGAAACTGGTGTCCTGACAAAGGAAGGTCAGTGTGTAAAATGTTATGAACTTAACAGCTCATTTAAAGTTAAACAAAAGTAATGAAACTGAAATAAAACCAGTTTATCTCATATGATCCAAACATAGATAATTATACTTGGAGGGGATTTGAAAAAAAGCTGCTTATTGATACCAGGGGGTCAGTCTGAGTTCCTGAAGTGCTTTAAAACCACTATATTAAAGCAACCTAAAACAAACCCAAGAAGATGGTTGAGTAGCTTAGGCTTTGTCTGAGTCATAATGCTGTGATAATCCTCTGCTACCCTCCTGTTGCTCTCAGGAATAAATCTAAAGCAACAGGAGTAGAACAGCTTTTATTTATTTACCCAAGACAAGTGAAGTCACTCGCTTAAAAATAGAAAAACAAAATACCCATGAACCAATCACCAAAGAAACTGTGATTGGTTGACTGATTCCCCACAAACCATGTGTCACGTTTCTTTGCTTTTATTTTTATGTAAATGAGCAGAAGGCATGAATATATTGCAACTCATCAGTAAACTCATCATAAACATCTGCATTCTATGAATATGACTGTGGTGGGAACGTATCTTCTAGCAGCACTGCTCTGTTCCATTAGCTGAGTGGAGTAGCTTGAACTTTGATGGGATAGATATCGCCTTGATTTATAGACTGTCAACCAAATCTGACATGTACTGTTGATGTATTTAGCCAGAAACTTCTTCAATCAAACTTCATTGTAGCTTTGCAGAAAATCTCATTGATGTCAGATCCTGTCATCTGTCAGATTTTATAACTTCTGTCTGAGACATATCTCAGATGGATGTGGAACATGTCAGGGTTTTAAATAGGACTGACAGAAAAATGTTTACCTTTCCAATGTGATACCACATGAACAGAACAAATGGGAAAGGCTAAATTTTTTTCTGTCAGGTGTATTCTAGATTTTCAGCAAGTTTCATGCAAATAGATCAGTGTGCAGTAAAAATCAGAAGACTTTTGTTTGCAGTGCTGCTCTATTTTAAATTGACTAGGAATTTATACTGTTCAGAAAAACTAAACAGTTTTGTTGATGGGTAAATACATCAGCTAGCTTTTATTTTCTTTCTTTAAGTCAGCAAAAATAAAAGAATGAGCAGATCTGAATATTTGATGGTTGATTACAACAACTTTATTGACCTTACATGCATTTCACGCTGGGGACATTTATTTCTGAAAATAGCCCTCCTGGGACACGACAGATTAGGTGACCCAGTGGGTCCTCAGAGAAAAGTTGATAACCCTACAAAGACTTATGATAATGAAAATCTATCCAGTTGTCCAGTGCACAAAACCTACCCCTTCCTCTGTCTTACATGTTAGTTTTATCTTAGCAGAGATCTGTTTATATGAAGCTCTGAAGTTTTATCACCTTTGTCAGTTATTAAAAAGCAAAAAAGCTCTCTCGGCCATGTTTGACATCTGCAGTGTTTGGTGTTCAAAGGTGCAAAATCACACTCAGCAACTTGTAGCTTTATTTTTGACACCTTATTCCTAAAGTAAAAAACAGCATAGACATTCACATGTATGCAGTTAATGTGTGACTAAGTGTCAGTGTCTGACAGCTAGTGTGTGTACCTGTTTGACTGCCCAAAGCAATCTGCTGTAGCAGTAGATCATCACTATGACAGGCAGACCCAAGCAGAAAATGAAGAGGCAGATGATGTAGGCGTGCGATTGGGCACTGTTAGCAGTCCAGGACACAGAACAGCTTGTTCCTGCCCCCTCTATGCCATAGCTACTCCAGCCCAGTAGGGGGGGCACTGTCCAGAACAAGGAGTACAGCCAAGAGCCCCCAACGGCTATTAGGGGCTTACGGTAGTCTGGCCCACGCTTGTTGTAAACAGTAAGGGTGCTGTAGCGGTCGTAGGAGAGGATCACCAGAGAGATCAGCGAAACTATACCTGAGAAAGACAGAGATGTGGAGGCGTGAGGCAGTGGGGGTAGGATGTAACTGGCTCAAGAGGGCAATAAACATTTATACAGTTTATAATACAATAAATTGCAACAACAGGCAGTCATAAAAGTACAGAAAACAATATTATATGATCTTAGTCTTTAATGCTGATTGTTCTTGAAAAAACACTCACTTTAAAGTGAGGAAATCTTAAAGGTGACTGCAAGGTACATGAATTTTTGAGCTAATAAACTTCCACCAGAATCACAAAAGCCAACAGCATGGTCCTCGTGGGAAATTCACGAGAGTACCAAATCAATAGCTTTAATCGATTTAGGGTCAGGTCTTTACAAAATATTGTGCCGCTGTATAAAAGAAATAAAGATTGAAAGATTTAATTAAAAACAAACAAAATGTTCACTACAATCAGTGAGAAACACTTGTTCACCTTAGCTTCAAAATGCACCTCAGTCAAACTGAAATATCTGTGAGAATGAATCTCAATCACAGTGACTCATTGTGTCTGATCTTACCTGCAGTCAGTTGGGATTTAGACACTGTGCTAAGGGATTGTCACAACAAGTGATTCAACAAACAGCCACCTTCATTGTGCTAATTAATTAAAAACATTTCTTTGAGGTGTACCAAAGACTGTGCACCTCTTCATTTAATATCATTCACGGAGTAATTAATTACATTTGGATAATCACTGTCAAATATAAAGCCTTGTGTTCTTATAAACCTTGCCATTTTATAATAATCTTAATAATTATAATATTTTTTGTGACGACACTGACTTGTCTCTAGAGACAACGGAATTTTAAGAAGTGACTGCTTAGCCATTGAGTCTTCATCTGTCCATGTGTACAGCACAGTATAATCAATGCTTAATTACTAAATAACTTTTTTTCCCTATGTATTATCTGCTTGGATGAATGGTTGTACCAGAAGGAGAGAGTAGCCTGAGGCTATGACTATTGATACTGTTTACAAGTCCTATCTCTGCCCTACGCATGACCAGCACCCAGTGCTTCCAAGACATAAGAAAAAAAACCCTCAAGAATCCATCAGAAATGCTACCAGGTCATTTAATTTGACCTTTATGAGAAAAAAGCATAACCGAGAACACAAGAGGATCCAAAGCTGTCTGCAGCCACAGAGGACAAAATATTTCATGTAGAGCTTGGTGGTAAAATTGGTGTCTTTCCCAAAAAGCCAAGCATTACAATGTATACAGAGGGATGACCCTCTGTATACAGTGTAATGCTTTCCAGCATCATGATGTTTTTTTCTGTCTAGCAAAGTCACCATCCCATAACTATTAATTTCAGCTCAATCTGTCAGTGCTTTTTGTGGTGCAGTATTTTTCCTCTAAATTCATGCATCTACCTCCTTGAACTATGGCTGATTGGATTTACCCTGGTAAATGGCCTGTGTTTGTATAGCACTTTACCAGTCCCTAAGGACCCCAAAGTGCTTTACACATTCAGTCATCCACACATTCACACACTGGTGATGGCAAGCTACATTGTAGCCACAGCCACCCTGGGGTGCACTGACAGAGGCGAGGATGCCGGACACTGGCGCCACCTCGCCCTCTGACCACCACCAGTAGGCAACGGGTGAAGTGTCTTGCCCAAGGACACAACGACCGAGACTGTCGGAGCCGGGGCTCCTTCCGATTACAAGACGAACTGCTAACTCTTGAGCCACGATCGCCCTGATCGCCCTACCATCCCACATACTGCACTTCACTGCTTTACACACAGCGCACACATGAAGCATCAGACATGAAAGAAATAGATATTTGCATGGGATGTTTGATGTGTTTGTAAATTACAAAGTAGTTAGATTAAGTGAATGTTACTGCATTTTGCAGAGCATCTATATGCTTCAAACTGCTCTGACCATCAAATTGTCTCATTTTTCAAATCCGGCCCTAGGACTCATGACCCACGGTATTTTTTTCTCTACAGTTCATTACCTTTCTCATTTACACAGTTTGCACAGTGTTACTATGTTATTAACACATGCCAAATTAAAGATATATCATGTGGCAGCAGTCAGAAGTGTATCATTGATGAGATTTCCCATGTTATTTCTCTAAACATACTGGTGAACCTAGATAGCTGATGGCAAAAACACAACAATAGAACTCAAAGCACACAGCTAATACATCTAATCTAATAACTCCTATTATATGCCAGCCACAGACTGTTTTAGGTAATGCTTCTACTAAACTAAATTTAGCTTTATTCAAGGTCCAGTCTGGCTGGCAAGCTCATCCTGTTTAATGATTTTATTTCCAAAAATTATCTTGATTTTATGTTCCTAAATAAAACCTCGTGAAACAAAAACAATGGTTATTATTGAAACAGCCCCTCCAAATTTCAGTTTTATAGACCCTCAAAATAAAGTGCAAAGGATTGACTAGATTGCCATTAGGCATGACTTTAACATTGTTTAGTTGGTGTTTTTAATATGCATATTGATCAACACAGCAATAGCATTGCCAAAGAACTTTTGTGTATTCTTGATCATTTCAGACTCGTATCATATCCTACACCTAGTTATTTCCAAAGGCCTGTGGCCGATACTGCTCTCTTTGACCATTACATTGTCTACCCATTTTTGTCTACCCATTTTTTAATGGGTAACACTCTTTTTAATACCTTTCCCAATAAACACTGGGCATCTGATAGACATGCAGCTCATGTCTATATTGGGTCTGTCGGTCCATGAGCTATTCTGGACATCTATTCGACATTCATGGTTGGACATCCAAATTGTGGACCTAGTTTGAATGTCGACATGTAGACGTCTAGGACAGGTACAGGAAATTTATATGATTAATATATGTAATATTATAAAATTTGGAATTCATACTACAACATGTTTAATAAGATTCAAAGAGCATTTGCATTATATATGGTTCATTTTGTAAGTATCCTGTTTTATTGTGAAGAGCTGATTGTAAGAGCAAATAAATGTGGTTGTGATCGGTAGCTGGACTGAGAGAAGTTGCAACAGAAAGTACGAGAAGTTTGTACAAGTATGCATGTATGAACTGGACTACCTGCTTGACATCTTTGTTGATGCACACATTTTGCAAATTAGCTGTGAGAAGCTGGGGACATCCACTGATCACTCAGCATTCCCTCATGCATTACTGTTTCTGTACAGAACACATGCCCACCAGCCTCTTAAAAAATGGGACTACAGCCTCCAGAAGCAGTATTAAATTGATGTTAAAAATTAGTAGGTTTGACATTGAAAAGACAACGACAACGACCACATTTGGACTATAAATAGCCTGTACGCAGAGGGACGGATATCAACACTAGATGTTAAGCAGACGTCAGAAAAAGACGTAACCTGGCATTACAAAACAACCTCTTCATTGGACCAAAATTGTACACCGGAAAAACGACACACCAACAACACATCATTCCGATGTCACTTTGCGCAGTATGTTCAGTTTAGATGTCTTTAAAATAATAAACAATATTCATCTAAATAGTGACAGGTCAAAAAGTCCTAACATCCAATGACACACAACTATCAGTGCTACCTCAGGACTATGGTCCCCTACACTTTCACAAAAGTTGCAGTAAACAAATTATTGAGTAGATATGCCAAAACTTCCTGAAAATGAACTCAGAAAAGACTGAAATTGTTTTTATTGAAAAAGAAAAAAGGAAAAAAAAAAGAATGAAAGTCTATAAAAGCCTGTTTATAGAAGATGCTTAAGTCTTAAATCCAGACCAGAAATCTTAGCATAATTCTGGACTATGACCTAGATTTTCACAGCTAGATAAAAACAATTAAAAAATATTTTTAAAAAATGGATGCATGTTTGAAGTAGATACATAGAATATTATAAGAGTATCTTTATTGATCTTGAGCACATTACTCTATTTTCAAATCTCTGCACTGTTTTGTTTTTTTTTTGTGTGTCAAAGGACAGATCCTAAAAATACTGGTACTAGTTTACGAAGCATTTAATCTACTTGTGCCTTACAAAACACCCAGAACTCTCAGGTTAAAGGGAACATACCATTTATGTACATTCCCATATTTAGAACGAAACAAAAGTGAAGCAGTTTTTATGGTACTCACCTGTGGAACAAGCTTCCTGGACAGCTGTGCCAAGATGAGACACATCTGTTATCTGGCAGATTTATTTATCACATATTATGATTTTCTTGAGTTTCTCAACTGCCACTTTATCTCAGTACCTTCTACTATTGTGTGTGTCAAAAATTATAGAGTGGCAGGTTTGTGGAAATTCCTTTTAAAGTACAATATGTTAATATTTCTATTCATATCAGTCCTTTAATGCTTAAACCATTATGAAGCTGCAAGTTACAGGACTGCTACTGAAGTCTCCAACATGCACCCCAAGGCTGTGTTTATGTCATGTCAGAGATAATGTAATTATAAGTGTCTGGTGTAATTAGAATTCATGTCAGCCTCTTACTTGTATATTGAACATGACACTTAATATTATCGAGTGCCCAAAAACTGAACAAATTAGGAGATGTCATCTCATCCTCTGCCTGGGCAAACTATTCTCTGTAATTACACTCATAAACCCATATTAAATGCATGTGTTATATTTTCAGTACACTGTATTTTAATCCTAACACATCCAAATTTATACTAATGCAATTGCAACACTTGCAAGTCGGTAACATGGGAAATGCTTTTCTGACTGTTTTTTTTTCCACCAGTTTTTGCAATTGTGAAAGAGCAAAGATGAGAGAGAGCAAGATGCTGATTAATTACACCATTATTCGAATAAGTCAAGGAAATACTAAAATAAAAGAAAATAAAAATAAAAATAAAAATAATAAAAGATGTCAAAGGGTCTAGAAGAACCGTGGAGAACATTATGCTGCCTGTAACATCATTCAACATGTTTAATGGAGGCATATCCATGGATGGTCCTCGACAGGCTAGGCAACGACACCCTTACTGCCGTTAGGTAAGGGGAAAAGATCCTAG